GTAGATTTACTAGCTTGACTATCTCTTCAGTTCTAGATTGACTTTGAGCTTCATCTTTCTTCAGTTCTTTTGAGTTCTTGAAGTAAATATGCATTCTTTTGAGCTAGATGCATGTTATTCTTTATAATTAGAGTATTTAAGCAGAGTATATTAACATATTTCATCTTCTATTGAGTATGTTTCACATTTATACTCACTAGTTTTATGATCTCTAGTACAGAATGCACATTTTAAGTCTCTAAAATAAGAGATTATAAAGTGTTTATATCTTTGACAGTTTGAACACTGTGTTTGAGCTTTGAGATTCATTCTTGAGTCTTTGTATTTATAAACTCTCATTTTTAAATCTATTACTCTTACTTCAGAAATCTATAATTGTTTAAGTATTTTTATATATACTAGAACAGAGACATTTCTTCTGCTTTATCTGAACTCAATTGAATTTAATCATACAGACTCTTTTCTCAGTTGAATAGAATTGTATTCTTCTAATGCCAGCGTGGCCTAGTTGGTAAGACTGGTAACCAAGGCCGCACACATTAGAGGTGCATGGGTTCGAATCTCACTCACTGACACCTGTCACTTCTTACCCATGAAAGCCCTCATGTAATAGAGGCTGAGCCTAATTAGTAAGGCTTAGTGCAGGATAGAACTCTCTACTGCAAGATAAGTCACTAGTTAAGTGAGATTCTGTGAACACTCATCAGAGCTGATATAAGATGTCAATGTCTCACTATTCTACTATACACCTGTCAAGATTCTAATGATATAGAGCCAAGCCTAATATAGTAATTATACACTACTTAAGCAAGTCTCTAACTAGGGCTGTCATCAGAGCCTAGCTCCCTCTCAAATACAGAGAATGATTTTGAAAATCATCTGACTAGCAGGTCTAGATGCATATCTAGACTCTAGACAGAGCACTCTGATAGACTAGAGCCTGCAAGCTCACTGTCAATCTCTAATACTGGCAGAGAGAACTGCAGTCATCAAGCTTATAATTAGTCTCTAACACAGGGTGAGGTCACAACAGCTGATTGATAGGCCTATGAGCATCTAATGAGGCCGAGATCAGCAACCGGAAGCTTGGTATGTACATCACCAAGTGAGCAGTGGCAGCCACTAACTAATATCTCTGGAAATTAGTGGCTGGCCTGAGAGGACAAACGCGGTGGTCAGTTAATTATAGGGGGTTAAATGTAATTAGCTTAAGATGCATCCTGCGGGTGGCTAGCGTCTGTAGTCAATTAAATTCAATTTAATATGAATAAAACTGAGTTATTTCCTTTCTTTTCTAGATTCAATAAGAAAGAACTATCTCTAACTCTTTTAAATAGAGAGATTAAACTCAGTTTAAATGTCAAATGATTAGAAGTATGGTTAAACTTGAAGTTGAATTTTAAATATTATATTCAATAAAGAACTGTCAAGACAGAAAGACTATTAAACAACATTATCAGACTATCAAATACAGAGAGAGATCTATTCTTTCAGACTATGAGACAGTTATATATAGCCTGTATTATCTGAGTAGCTGATTATGAAGTTTAAGTTTGATAAAATAATCAAGGAAATTTCACTGAACTCTTTCAAAGTCTGTAAAACAGAGCTTTGAGAAGAATTCTGAGAGCATTCAAATCATCTTCTATTAAAGTAATGAAAATTAAAGCTTCAATTCCTTCTTCTACTATTAGATTTGAAAAGACCTGTATGAACTATACTCTGAGAGTTATAAAGATGAGCTTAAATTATATAATCAGAGAAAGAGTCTCTTCTTCATTTTCATTAATTAACTCTGAAAATGAACTGAATTGAAATAGATTTCTTAATTGAAATGAAAATAATTCTTCAAAGAAAATGCCTTCTAAACTGTAC